GTCAAAGCAGAACAACGGTTCGGTATTTGATATATAGACCGATATTCGGTATTTTGATAATCCTAGTCACATTTACCAACGAAATTATGTCCAATTTTGTATTTAAGACTCGCAATTCATTACAATAGATGGAGGTTATATTAAGTTCGTCATTCCGTTTCTAAGACGGTTTAGCCGTGTCCGTCCGTCTGTCCGTCTGTTGTAATCATGCTACAGTCAAAACGAATTAAGATAGGAAGCTAAGATTTTGCACAGATCTGTCTTTTGTCTGCAGGCAAGTCAAGTTAGTAGATGGGCTATATCGGTCCACAAAATCGTATAGCCCCCATAAAATGGTCCCCCCGATATTCGGTATTTTGTAGATTTTAGCCACATTTTTAAATATAATTGTCTGAAAAGCCACAAAAGGAGTTCCTTATGAGTACTTTATCCCCTGGAAGATAAATATTTATATCGGTCCACGATATCGTATGACCCCCATATAACGGTACCCCCCGATATTCGGTATTTTTATGATTTGAGCCAAGTTTTTCAATGGAATTGTCTGAATAGGTCCACGTTTTAGTATAGCGCCATATAATGATACCCTGAGATATTCAGTATTTTCATGAATCTTGCGACATTTTATTACTACGTTACTACAGCCTGTGAAACAAATTACTTATGCAGGACGAAGTCCTCCCATATGGCGGTTATCATTCGAGCGGTATTTTTCGATAGAATTTTTTTTGAAAGTTTGACTCGTCCGAACTTATCTTCTTTTTTACTTGTGTATAACGGCTTGTTTGTTGAAAACTATAACTGCACATGTTTATATTTTAAAGTGAAATACTTTTGAATCCGGATACTAATGGTTAAGTCTTTTTACTTGTTATGATTTAAGTAGATGGAACTAACGGTGGACGGTAAGAACAAACAGATTGGGAGAATCTCAAATCCTGCGCGTCCTAGATTGCTGTTAATGCCGCGTATGATAAAAAGTTCCAAAAAACAGCACCGAAGCCAAAAATATTAGCGATGTAAAACTCTATAAAAATGTGTTTTTGTATTCTGAAAATTAGCGGACAAGGATCAGAAATCACATGGTGAAGGAAATCTCATACTTTAACAGTAAACATGGATAAGTTAGAAAGTTTTGAGGTATTTACCTCACTCAATAGAGCAACTTAATTCTAGAATTGTAAAATTGTCAAAAATATTTTTTTTTAATTCCAGCATGAGTTGCTATTTCAAGCATTTTGGATTAAGTAATTTTGTACTTTCTACCACTCTCAATTGTTATGCCTAAAAAAATATCATCCATCACAAGTTTTCCAAAACTAGAAAAAAAATGCAACTCGATTTAGTGGCTAATTCAATTCACACATTTAATATTTAATTAAATATTTGCATGAATTTATATAATATTGATTTATGACATTACTATTATTAGTTCAAGGCTAAATTGCATAAATTATTAACTAACATTCTACAGCAGCAGAAGCATACATAGATATAATCATATTTATCCATGCTACCAAATGCTAAATGCATTGGCCTGCACAATATTTACATACCTTTTAAAACTGATGCAGAATATTTACCCTGCGCATTATTGGCTTAAAGTGTTGATGCCATTCAATTTCACACGTCAATGAATAACTAATACTATTATTATAGGAATATCAATTGCAAAATTATCGATTGTTCAATTCATTGGAAAAGTGTTATAGCCACAGTTAAATGTCATTGTAAATGTTGGTGTGTGTATGTCCTCGGCAATAGATTGATCAATTAAAACATTTACCACAATAGCACGGAATAAAAATTATATTAACCGTATTTAAGTCTGTAATTAATTGAACAAATTTATGCTGAAGAATTATTTTTTATTCAAATATTCAGTAGTTTAATTTGTTTGGAAACGTGATATAGTCAACCAGTTCTATTTATAAAATTATACGACGTTATGATTTGTTGTGTGTTAATATTAGTGTTTTATTGGTTGAGATATTTAATTGTTGTCTTAAATAATATAATGATTCAAATAGTCCTCATTTTTACCATTGTGACATGTTTGAATTACATAATGCAATATAAAAATTCCAATAATAAATCTATATTTAAATTGTTAAAGATGATGATGTATGATTACCTAATCAACGCCCAAAAGATATTGCCAGAGATATAATCTTGAAATTTGGCATGTAAGCATCTAAAAAACTGGTGGTGGGACGATCGGGTGCAATTTTAATAATTTATTCTATATATACTAATATTGTAAAGAAAACTAAATATTGTACTTTTAAAGCCAGAATTTCGAAATTTCAAAATTCTGCAAAAACTGAATTTTAAAAATTATACAATTTTGGTATTGCACTAAAGATGAAGGAAACAAGTAAAAAAAGTATTAAGTTTTTTTTTAAATATTTTTTTATATATTTTGCCATTTAAATAGAAAATTTTAGAAATATAATCCAATTCAAAATAATCTAATCCAATCCAAATATAATCGATTATTGCAAGATGATTATTGTTTATTAAGACTACCGTAAAATGTGTCAAGAAACCCATCAAAATACAAATGCTGGATATTATTAGGAACAAACACATTGAAAAATCTGACTGAATTCATGAAAATATCGAACATTTAAAGATGAAGAAATACTTGAACCTATACAGAAAATTTTCGTCTTAGGGAAGACAGTTCCATAAAAAGAATTTGACAAAAATCATGAAAATATGGCATATCAGGGTTAATTTTATATGTGGGCTTTATACAATCGTAGGCCTATTTACACAGTTTTTTGTCATAGGTCAGAGTCATGTGCAGAATTTCAAACACTTACTTAAATTGTCAAAATACCGAATATCGGTAGGTTCCGCAGGCAAATGATTGATCTGTGGTAAACTCTAGCTTCCTATCTTAATTCGTTTCGACTCTAGCGTGATTATAACTGATGGGAAGGCGGATGGACGAACAGGGCTACATCGTCTTAGAATTTTACGCTGATCTATAATATATACAGGGTGAGATAAAAAATTGCAACGCCATAATTTTTACATTTTTTTTTAATTTTATTGAATGAATTAAATCAAATAATCAAATTTTATAATAAGTTTAGATTTCTTCGAATTGGTCACCTTTGGCACGAATTATGGTCTTCAGACGACCAATGAAACCATCACACGCTATTCGCATGTTGCTCTGTGGTATTTGGCTGTTATGGCGGCCCAAACCATCACCATGGCCGGCGCTTGAATTCTGGTTGTCAGCTGACCTCTTTGGCAAGTAAATACGATTATTTTGTTTGTATACAAACTGCTGGACAACTAATGTTTTCTCATCGGAGAAAACCAAATTCCGAAGTTCACCACTTTCGGCCAAGCGAATTAACTCTTTAGCTCTTTTGAGTCTACTTTCTTTCTGTTTCGATCAAGTCGTTTCTTTATTTTCGAATCATTTCTGTTGATGTTGCTGTTTTCTTCCGTCCACTTCCTTGACGTCGGGCTATGCTACCAGTATCACGGTAACGAGCGATGGTACGAGACACAAAAGATTTATTCACATCTAAATACTGGTGTGCTCTAATGATAGCCACTTGTGGTTTCCAGCCAAATATAAAGAAATCACACTATCACGCTTGAATTGCATCACGAATAACTTTTTTGTTGGAAAATTCTCACCAAAATGCTTGTGTACGCTTGTAAACAAGTGACTGCTTATTATGGTCACTGAAATAATTTTAAAAGCTGTCGGACAAGTGGCTTAGTTAAAGCAGCAGTCTAAATTTGGTTGCGGTTTTTTCATCTCACCCTGTATATTTATTCTGATAGAAATATTACGTTACGGAAACTTTATTTGTATTATATGAGATATATAATTTTCTTTTGAATACCAGCGATACTCTTGAGAAATACGTCGGTCAGAAACATTAGATTTTGAGCAGAATTGTCGGTCGTCCGGCATTTGTTTCACTGAGTTATTTTAAACGACGTTAAGTTTATACGTCTGTATATGAACTTCTTCACATAGCCTTCAATAGTGTACTTTTTTCTTTACTATATTTTTAATGGCAAGAACATTGTATGTTCCAATGTCTGTCATAAAAACAGAGATTTTCTGTATTCCGAGTACCCCTTTCACCGAATATTATAGTATTACAACGAATATAATAATCTATCGCTCTAGCTTCCGAACGAAATTAGGTAGGTTGATAAAATTTTACTCAGATGTATTTTAGGTCTGTTTGACTATTGGTATTGAAAAGGGCTTTTTAGGTCCACGTAACGAATATAATAATATTGAATTAAATAACCTCTAGTCTTCAACACTTTTGTCTTACCTATTTTTTATATTTTTTATACTTTTATAAATATATTATACCTATGAAAAATCATTAACACCATATCTGATGCACAGTGATTCTTTTTACAGCTGTGTATATGGATTTTATATTACCGGAAATGTGCGGTAATTTTTTATGTTCTTTTATGTTGTTTCTTTTTATTCTTCCCTTTGCCTTGACATTAATCTTAATTCAAATGAGGTTATTTCAATTCAATTAGAACCATAAAGCAGAATGACCTTAGAGCGGAAACGTAGCTGTTCCATTTCTTTTTTTAATAAATATAAAAAAACTTAATACCCGTGAAATAATATCCACTAACCGTGTTATCCTAAGAGTCCACCAGCTAAAAAGATATACTTAGCTATTTTATGTGTAACGTTTTTTATATACTTTTGCTATTTAAATAAAATTTCAACAAAAATATAGTCCTTGGCAAAAGGAGGCAAAAAACGTAAGAATGAAAGAAAGTAAATGGAACTGCCATAGGCAGAGTCGACCAGCAGATACAATAAACAGGCAACATAAAATTCGTCCACCATAAATTCATTGTAATGTAATAAAACTGAAAGCATCTAGGCAAGGACACGTTCACAACTAAGGGTAAGAGGTGGGTGTCGGCACACGGGTACAGGGGTGTATGTTTGAGTATATAAACTATATAATTATTACCTTAAATAGTACACTGGGATCCACATCGTGTAGACACTCCAGTGTCGCACTGGTACCACGTTCCACATAGCGCGGCACAATCAACTGTACATTAGCTTCCGTATGACCGTCTGAAAAGAAAGACAAAAAATAAACGTAAAAAATTGCCATGAGAAACTTGGTGCTGATAAATTTATTTCATCACACTGCAGAAAAAAATAGAGGCTAATATAAATAATGCTGCTGCAAATGGAAGAAAAACGAAATGACCAAAGAAATTACAAAGGCAAATACAGCGGCAAAACTTTTGCAAATTGCTGGAGAAAAGATGTCGCTGAAATACCACCAGCCAGTGCAACAACGCCAATGTCATTTCGGTAGTTTAGCAACCTTTTTTTCTGGCTTGCCAATGAACATAGGCGGCAAGCTTAGAGGAAAGTTAACCACAGCATTTCAAGAGCAAAGAAAAAAAAACACAATCATTGGAATTATAATTCCTTAAAATAAATGTAAAAGTTACAGTGGTCATAGAAGAATTGTACGTAAATTGATGGAATTAAGATTTCTTGGAATTTCTTCTAATTATCATATCTTATGCAAGCAGTCATTTCCGAGTACACCGTTATTCTTAAGCAAACTTGAAAATGCTTCAAGAAAATAATAAATTTATAAGTGCTTATTTATTGCAAATTTTTAGACATTTATTAGATTGTAATGTAAGTATGTACTATAGCATATGTCTGGGAGCAAAATTATTATTAGAAATAACTGGTCATATTATATCAAATTATCTTTAGAATGTCTGGAACTGTCGTAGTCACAGTTTACCTCTTTTCTAATAATGCTTGTCAAAAATATTTCACACTAAGTGTCTCCTTCGTTAGCAAAATGCGACAACTAAAAACCAGTAAGGAAAAATCAAAAGTCGGGCGGGGCCGAATATATGGTAACCTACAACACTATGCATATTTAGTTAGTAGAGTTCCCGTAACAAAAGAATTTATTTCAAGTAGATCATACCACCTATCAACAGTTAGCTTTAGTGCAGTTATAGTATGCATACATTAAAAAAATATATATCGGAGCCGAGTTGCAAAAAATGGAAATGTACATTCCGAAATTCACTACATTTGGGCTGATATTAGCCATTATTTGAACAATAAAATCCTATTAAGAATATGAAATCGGATTAAGAATATATCCAAATCTAAGCCGTAGCTGTATCTGAACCGATTTTCTCCGAATTCGATTTCCTTCTTATGGGATGAATTCGGTCGGATGCACCAAAATTCAGGACTTTTGGACTGATAATGGCCATTTGGTGTACAAATTACCCGAAATCGTTGAAGATATATTTGTGACCTATATCTAAATCTGAACCGATTTTGATAAAATTTGGCATAGATTTTTCTGGGCTGTATCTGATATGTGGTAGCAAAGGTCATTGTTGTGAAATTAATATTATGCTTGCGATGGACTTTAAACCCCAATTCGAAAAAAAAAAAATAGATGGGAGCTAAAATACATTTGAAGTACTGGTTTATAAGATGAATTCAGCCGTAATTGCCGAAATTCAGTCCATTTGGGTTGATATTAGCCATTTGGAGCGCAGTAAACCTGATGTCAGATAAAGGTATATAGGGGAGCTATATCCTAATCTGATCCGATCTCGATAAAATTTGACAGAGGTAATTTGGAGCAGTATCTGATGTCCGATACCAAATATCATTTTTTACATATAGACATAATACCCTTACCGCTATGTGATGTAGGGTATTCAAATTAGACCTCACAAAGTTTATATATTCTAGATGTTAGTCCGTCTGTGGAAATCGCTCTAGCTTTGGAACGAAATTAGGTAGGTTGATAAAATTTTACTCAGATGTATTTTAGGTCTGTTCGACTATTGGTATTGAAGAGGGCTTTTTATGTCCATGTTTTGGTGTATGTCCCATATATAAAAGGGGTAAAGAGTATGTATTCCCAGTATGTGGAAACGTCTTTGAAGAGAACTGTACATGTAGGTATAAGTTTTGGTATGGATCCCATATACAGGGTTGCCCATATTCGACGGACCCATGACTCTTTGGGCCCATTCCAATCGACGAGGCTTGTCCGCAGGCAACATTCTTTGCGTCAATTGAATTTTGTACGGGAACAAATGCAAATCAATGCGAATAATCCGTTGTATAGTGGACCGAGCCATGCCCAACTGCTGAGAACGGCGTTTTTGGGATGTTTTTGCGGACCTCTCAACACTGGCTCGTACGGCAGCGATATTCTCGGCCGATCGCCTTGGTCGACTTTTATATGGCCTCTTCGGATTAGAAAGAGCCTTACCAGTTGAAAATTTTTCGTATAAACGCTTAATGGTGTTCTTAGAAGGCGCAATTCTCACATTTTTTAATGTTTTAAAAGCACGTTGAGTTTTCACAATTGACTTCTTCTTATTCTTCTGAATATCAACTATTTCAGAGAGCTCGCGTGACGTGTATTGGTTCATGGTAAAAATCTGCTTGGACTGACGATTCAAACGCGGTATGTCATTAAGCGATGTGACATCTCTGTCAAAAGTTATGGCGTTGCCAGATGGGTCCGTCGAATATGGGCAACCCTGTACCTATACTCCATAGATTCGGTATTTTGATGAATTGTGTCAAAGTTTTCATCGGAAATTTTTACATTTCATCTTTAGGTAATAGATGCTACCTCCTATAACAGAAAAATTTGGGCACAGGTCCACACCTCCATATAAACACATTTTTTCAGCAGGTATTTGCAGTTCGTAGAGGTCCAATGTTTAGTGTAGGCTCCATATAACTGTACCTCCCTATTCCTTTCCTTTCAAACTTGGACCATCCCAATATTTCTATCAACTAAATATCAGGTATGAAGATGGTAGATATCGGTTCACTCCTTTTGGTGCCTCCTCCACAAAGGGTAAAAATTTTGAATAATTTTATCTCTCATAATATAAGAAACAAATCAGCGATTATTTTCAAACTAAGGTTATATAAATATTTATCACAACCACAATTTATCGGCCCCTTCTTCCTGGTACCACCCTCACAAAGGAAAAACATTTTGAATAATTATAACAAATCAGCGATTTTCAACAGACTTCGTGCATCTCAATATTTATGTTAACCATAAATCTAGTAGATATTTTGCACATCCCATTATTTTTTTTTTTTTTTTTTTGAATTAGGTGAAGTGGGAAAATAAAATAACTTTGTATTTGAATTTTCAAAAATTTAGCACATATCAGACTTGGGACAGGTACGAAATGGGCAATATTTTACTACTCTTTGAGAACCCCCATAAAGAATTAACAGCTTGAAACATACAATGGCTGATAGTATACATCTGTCGGCCACACCGACTGATACTTTTTAACTTACTCAACAGAATTATATTAAACTCGGTATTTGGAATTCGTAATAGGCACCACCTTCTCCGGCAGATAATTGGCAGTAAAGGTCCATGTTTTTGTATAGCCCCATGTAACCGTAACACCTGATAATCGAAGTTTTTAACATTATAGCCACATTTTGACATGAATTTTTTTTTTTAATTTTGCAAGTTCCTTCTAAAATGTAGAGTGTATTATAAAAATCGGCCCGGCCGAACTTCGCTACTATTTTTAACTGTTACCGACTAAAAATTTCTCAAATTGTGAAAACGCAATTCCTTATTTAAATTTTAAAATTTCAACATTGAGCATCGTGAAGTGAACTTATATGGGGCTATACAAAAACGAAGCTATTTTCACAACTTGGACCGTAATGGTGCAGGTGTTTGTAGTTCATAGTGGACTCTACAACCGAAGTCAAAATGTTTTTTTTGGTCCACGGTTTCCATATAACGGTACCTACCGATATTCGGTATTTTGATGATATAGCCACATTTTTCGGAATGAATTGTTTCAATTTTGGCATACAAGACTCGCAATAGATAGCAAACATTGTAGCAGAAAAGTGTCTGTATAGGTTTACGTTTTGATATGGTCCCCATACATTGAATCCATATATGTTTTGTTTTATCTATGTAAATTTGGAATATTCACACATTTCAAGATTGGTTCACGTCGGCAATGATGTAGTTTAGATTGAAATTTGTAGAGTAAGTTTAAGATATATTCGGCGCACTCCTTTGCCTTTCCGCAATGTGTTCCACTTCAAAAATCAATCTCACATAATTTTCATACCAAACCACAGTCAACAATGTAGTAAAGACAATAATAAAATAACCCAAATAACCTTGAACGAAATTGGTGTGAAATTATACGCCATCGCCAAGGTCCACACGTAATACCAGAATAACACAAAAGAGACAAGGCTGGCAACAAAAACACGCCGTCCCTAACTTCCCTTATCTCACACTCAAATATAACCAAATACCCCAAGCGACAGGATTTAAAACTGTTACTAATGATTTAAGAGCGGCTCTTAAAGTGAAATAAAGCAAACGAAAGTGTTCAAGTGTCTGGAAAAGTATTCTGCTCGTACGTTTAATTACACGATAAGGATAATGCCCGCACTCTAGCTCATCTTCCATTACGTTTTTAGTTTCACTTACAGTTTCAATTTATTTTTTCATTACCATTTCAGCAATGCCGGAATGTTGGCAAAGAAAACAGATTTTAATTTCACACTCTACTTTTTCGCTCTCTCTCGCTCTCTCTCTCCCCCTCTCTAGCCACGATTGTTTGGTTGATTATTCGTGATTAGAGACAACCAGGATGTAAACGATGACGCTAGCTTGGGGCTTTGGGGGGTTTTCTCTTTAACTGTAATTAATACACAGTAAAAGTCTTAAGCTTCAGAAGGATGTGGGGACTAAATTAGAAAAACGAGAGAAAACAGCACAAATCTACTACTCTGCGATGGGATTTACTAAGATTTTAATTGTTATTCTTATTGGGATTTGCTATGTTCAAGGACAGGATTTTTCGTTGGAATCATATATAATTTAAGGCTGCTAGTTGGATGTACCGAGAATAACTTAACATCACAATGAATGCGAAATGATCAAATAAATTTGAATAATCCCTATGTAATTACATTCCAAAAATACACATGACTTGGTTATGTTACAAATGTAATTTAAGAAACGTTTTGACTTTCTGCGAAAACGTTAAAAGAATGTGTATTGTTAATTAAGTAAATAAAAAAAAATTAAGATAGGTTAATGAGTCAATATTAATTACTAACATTTCCTAGGGCCTCTTTACATATGACGATACAAAAAAGATGGGGAAATAAAATCACAATTCCAAATAAGTTTTTCGTATTTTTATTTTTTTGTTTAAAACACATTTTTGGAATGAAATGGCGTTTATACCCTACAACACCAAGTTCTGAGGGTATAATAAGCTTGATTAAATAAACAGTAATGCTGATAGCCATGATGTAGGATATAGCAAGATATTTACAATATACATATATGTAAAAGAAATAGATCTGAGTTCTTTCGTTTATAAGTCAGGAACCGCTAGACTGATTCTCATCAATTCGGCATGGCATCTTGCTAGATCTAAGAAAATCGCTTAAAATTTCGGCAACAAAAAGTGAATATTTTTATTTATTTTTTCAATTTTTGTCATATATTTTATCCCATGCGATTTTTTCAAATTTGAGTTTTATATTTACTAAAATTTCTCTACACCCCGCAACACTTTGTGTACAGGGTAACAGGGTAAGATAAAAAAATTGCAAAAATGTCAAACGCATAATTTTACATTTTTTTTTAATTTTACTGAATAAAAGCAAAAAATGTCGAAAAAGCTTACAATTTTAGAATAAGTTTAGATATGTTAGAATTGGTCAAGTTTGGCACGAATTATGACCTTGAAACGGCCAATGAAACCGTCCAGGTTGCCTGAATGTTGCTCTGCGGTATTTTGGCCCATTCACGGCGAAGCGCATGCTGGAGGTGATCGAAACTTTTGTATTTTTTAGTGCCAACATTGCTTTCCAGTCCAACGGATTGGTATCCGTAGATTTTAGTGGCCATTGTGCGCTGGAAATGAAACGAGGAACCTCATTTTTTAACCATTCTTGGGAGGCTCGAGTTGAACGCGATGGTGTTGAGTCCTGTTGGAATGTCGAAGATCTGCGGCAAAAATGTTTGCGTGCCCAATAATTTATTAATACACCTTCCGGAATATTTTGGCGATAATATTCGCCATTTATTTTGATGCCGATCGATTAATACGAGCGGAGAGCGACAATCGGCTGTTATGGCGGCCCAAACCAACACCATGGTCGGCGTTTGAGTTCTGGTAACCAACCGAAGATGTACATTTTCAGCTGACCTTTTTGGCAAGTAAATACGATCATTTTGTTTGTTTACAAAGTGCTGGATAACGAATGTTTTCTCATCGGAGAAAACCAAATTCGACAGTGCACCACATTCTGCCAAGCGAAGCAACTCTTTAGTCCTTTTGAGTCTATTTTCTTTCTATTGCGGTGTAAGTTCTTGCAGCTTTTGGAATTTCTATGGCTTTACCCAGAGCTCATTTTTAATATTTGCCGAATGGAATATTGCGATATGTTCAGCTCGGCCACTGCTACGCGGATTTCGATCAAGTCGCTTCTTTACTTTTCGAACCATTTCTGCTGATGTTGCTGTTTTCTTCCGTCCACTTCCATGACGTCGGGCTACGCTACCAGTACCACCGTAACGAGCGATGGTACGAGACACAAAAGATTTATTCACATTTAAATGCTGGAGTACTCTAACGATAGCTATTTGTGGTATTGCAGCCAAATATAAAGAAATCACAATATCACGCATGAACTCCATCACGAATAACTTTTTTTCTGGAAAATTCTCACCAAACAAACAATATAATGAGCTGTCACTGGAAAAATGTTAACAGCTGTCGGGCGAGTGGCTTGGAAATGACAAAAGTCTGAAGTTGATTGCAGTTTTTTTATCTCACCCTGTATGTGTTCCCAGGCTCACTCCCCAAGAATAAATACTTGCCCGATGTTAATTTTTACCTCTATATATCGGAGAATTTTTACAAGAGTTAGCCCTTAAACTTAAAACATGCATTTATTTAAAACTTCGAAACTCGAATGCAATTCTTATGTTCTTTTTTTTTTCAGGATGAAGATGTATACTATAAGTATATACGAGAAAATTTGTAGGAAAACATTAACAAATTATATTTTATCATCGCTCCAGTAGGCCCTTTATCAATTTTAATCAACAGAACCTGTCATGACTTATCCAAAACTTAAAAAAATGTCCAGTGAGAGAGTATTTAGGAATTTTAAAAAGCCTGAAATTGTTCTCGCTGTGTTATATTTCGTCTTTTAATTAAAAAAAACACAACAATGAACTAGTTTATATATCAGCAACAATTTTTACTTTGTATTTCTTTCATCAAAAACTTTTAAATCCCATAGACAAATTTTAGTTTTTAACATTCAAGTCAATACCTGTCTACTATCAACATTTCTTTTTTGTCAGTTTACCAGCTCTTTAATAATTCACTTCATGAATAATTAAAATGAAAACACGTGAAATAGGTATGATAGCCCTCCATCAAATTAACAACGTTACGAAAGTTCATGTGTCACATGAACCCTTCAAGGACTGACTAGAAAAAAAGCTATGAATTTCATTTCAAATTAGGCCTTGAATATGCCCATCAAAACTTAAGTAATCATTAACGAGTTAAGGTACACCGTGGTGAGGAAATGTAGCAGACTATCAAACTGAACTTAAACAAGTAAGCAAAGGCTACATTCGAGCGGGGCCGACCGTTGAATACCCTACAACACTATAATAAACGATACAGTTTATATAGGCGAGATACTCGAAAGAATTCCAAAGATATTGTGGCAAATAATAAAAGAAAACCATCAGGTTTCGTTATCTAATTTTCGAATAATGGCAACTTAAACTAATTTGCTTATTTCCAATTTATTGGAAGACGTTGCACGTAAATGTTCTCCCTAGATCTGGAACCAATATTTCCCAAAGACCAATAATCTCTCAGAAGTGGCAAAAGATTAACATTTATTATTGGTTTTTGACTGAAACGCATCTATATGAGATACAGACATTTTACTATATTCTTCCACGAAATCAGCGTTAACGAAATAGTCAGAAGTGCGTCTTTCCTGTATTTGTGAATTCTCCAAAGAGTCACTGGAATGGACATTTTCGTGTTTTGTCTACAAAAGTTGGCAAACTATTTCGCACATTGAATATTTTTGGATGGCCATTCAAAACTGCTTGGCTTTTGCAATGTCGGGTAACCCACATTCAAATGTGCGTGAGGATAGGGCGACAATTACGACCTGCTGACAATTTTGCATTTCAACCCCTAAAGATATGGCGATCATCTCCAAAAAGAGTAGGCTTCTATTGTGACCCTCGTCTTATCTCCATGCAAAATTTCGTAAGGATCGGGCCATAAATGTGATCTGTATATGGTATCCTGATATCCTAACTACTTAGTTTTGTTAGCTGTAGAAATATTACCAAATGTTTAATTCAAAATGAAAATATGCCAAAAATATGACAAAATTGAAAATATATGAGAAAATTTTACAAAATCAATATTTTCATCTTTAGAGAGATATTTTTATGCGATTTTTTTAGACGTTTTTTCTTTCCTGCCAAGAGGCCATTCTGAATTAATGAGAACTGTCGAAATCAGTTCAGCCGTTCTCGACATATAAGAGATTTTTCAAGCATATCTTCTTTGATATACATATTTATCGCACATATCTTGTTACATATCCGATTTGATACATGTTAACATCAATGTAAAGGTCAGAAGTAACCTTGTCATGGCCTCGTGATTTCGACGGGATATAAAATATTCGCGGTTTAATGAAAAATGTTGAATTTTTTCAATACAAAAGATATGGTCTATTTTACCCGCTAAATATTATCCGATGACAACCCTAATTGGTAAGCTTCTTCCCCGCCCTAAACTCTAGCTACATACGAAATTCCGAAATTCGATTGGTCTATAATTGCGACCTGTATAGCTACTACAAAATCCGACATTTTTTCAGTATTTGGTCCATTTCAACCCCTAAATATTATGCGATCATCTCCAAAAGAAATAGGCTTCTATTCTGAACCTAACCCCACCTCCATATTAAATTTCGTGAAGATCGGACCATAATTGCGACCTGTAGAGTGATTACAAATTAACATGGACAGACGGACGGACGGACATACATAGCTAGATCGACTCATCTCGGCGAGCTAGGAAGATCCATATATACTTTTCTATATGGGAAACCAATATTTCGAGGTGTTACATAAATTCTGGCCCAATCAAACTTATAATACCCTCAACACATAGTGTTGTAGGGTATAAAAAGACGTAGTCGAAAATTGTACATAATACCAAAAATTTCTAGTTACGACAACGCCTACGACTACGTCTACGACACTTGAACGCCTACGACAACGCCAACCATAATAAGGGTGATTATTTACCGGGATTGTTTCAAATTTCGCATGTGAAGTTTGTAATGGATACTTCAGCCCATGCCAGAAAATTGTCTGTGCTGGTTCACGTCTTCGTATAGCCCCCATATAACGGTACCCCCTATATTCGGTATTTTGATGATTTAAGCTACATTATAAACAGATTTTTCTTCAAGTTTCGCATTTAAAAATTGTGATAACTTATGACAAAAGTCGCCTATGCAGGTCCACGTCGTCGTAAAGGCATTCGGTATTTTTAATATTTTAACAGAATTTTTAACGGATTTTATTTTTTTGGAAATTGCCAAATTTGTACCAAATGGTGGAGGGTATTAAAAGTTCGGCCCGGCCGAATTTACAGCTTTTTTACTTGTTATTTTTAAATGTGGACATTTTGTGAGAGAGGAGTTCACAAACGAACGGACATCGGAAGATCTACTCCAATTCTTCCTAAATAGATTTCGTCCGCAGTTACCTAAAATAGTTATTTCGATAAGGAACTTTTTGGACTTATTGTAATATTGATAATGAACTAACTAACTAACAAACAAAAAACTAATACAATGAAAATAATTTAATCTGAAGTAAACTTATGTGATTTTATCATTACATACCGATCAATGAAAAACGAATGGACTCCAACATTCACCAAAAGATTATATATAAATATTGAAATTTGTACTCTTGATGCACTCTTGTACTCTTGTTTTTAAATATTTAGGAGCGATATTACTATTGGACCAATAATATATCCTTGTAACGATGCTGGAAATATGAAACATTGCTAACATCCTTTGCACTAATGTAACATTTTTCAGCTTTTTACATACCCGGTGTAGAAAGACGTTACAGATGACAGATGAGGTCACAATTAGTTTTGGTTTTCCAACACATCACAAGCTCAATCAAAACTTATTACTATAAACTTTTTACATGGGAAATTCGTTTACTTTTGTGGCTCCCAGAACAGAGAGTATTAAATGATTAAATGAGAGCAAAAAAATTCCAAAAAATTGTAAAATGTGATTTTTTTTTAATATCGAATTGAAAGTAAATTTCTATGTGAACTAGATTACTTTTCATTTTCATATAAGAGTCAGAATAAAATCACAAAATTCATCACACAAACAGAGGATGAATGAATGATAGATCTGAGATATAGTCGACTTTGTCTTGTTCGTTTTTTACGACTTACAAGGCCGAAAATCATCGGAGGTAGTACCTAATTTGGTCCAAAATTGTATCTTGTAATTATTATTACACATAAGAAAGAATTAAGGTGAGAGTACAACAGCTTGAAGTATTCGCATGTCATATTATGTGTCATATCATAAAGGGATGCCAGAGCCGCACTCAAATTCTGCCATCGTTTCCTCTTATAATTTGACATTAATATGCCTAGCCATGATACCAAGCTGCATATTTACCCTCACCTAGGTAGGGTTATAGTAGCATTATCTGTATGCTATAACCTTGCCTAAAATTTGACGTAGCGTAAACAAATATTGAACTTCACCACCGTACAACGTTTTGAAAATTGATTAAACTACAAGTGCACGAAAAGTACAAAATAGTACAATATTTGGTACAATTTCTGAAAAATGTATTATTAAACAAGTAAGCAAAAGCTACAGTCGAGCGGGGCCGACCGTTGAATACCCTACAACACTATAATAAACGATTCTGTTTATATAGGCGAGAAACTCGAAAGAATTCCACAAGATATTGTGACAAATAATAAAAGAAAACCATTAGGTTTCGTTCTCTAATTTTCGAATAATAGCAACTTAAACTAATTTGCTCATTTCCAATTTATTGGTAGATGTTGCACGTAAATGGTCTTCCTAGACCTGGAACCAATATTTCCCAAAGACCTATAATCTCTCAGAAGTGGCAAAAGATTAACATTTATTATTGGTTTTTGACTGAAACGCATCTATATAAGATTTGACTATATTCTTCCACGAAAAATATTACAAAATGTTACAAAATCAATATTTTCATCTTTAGAGAGATATTTTTATGCGATTTTTTAGACGTTTTTTGTTTCCTATCAAGAGGCCATTCTGAATTAATGAGAACTGTCGAAACCAGTTCAGCCGTTCTCGACATATAAGAGATATTTCAAGCATATCTTCTTTGATAGGCAAATTATCCGATGACCACCCAAATTGGTAGGCTTCTTCCCCGCCCTAAACTCTAGCTACATGCGAAATTCCGCGTCGATTGGTCTATAATTGCGATCTGTATAGCTACTGCAAAATCCGACATTTTTTCAGTATTTGGTCCATTTCAACCCCTAAACATTTGGCGATCATCTCCAAAAGAAATAGGCTTCTATTCTGACACTAACCCCACCTTCGTGCAAAATTTCGTAAAGTTCGGGCCATAATTGCGACCTGTAGCGTGATTACAAATTACTCAGCAAAAATTTGAAAAGTAGGTACTAATATAAAACAGGTATAAATTCTAATATCAGTTTCTCATTGAATAAATATTCACAAAAATATTCAATATACAGGGTGAGATTAAAAAACTGCAACCAACATCAGACTGCTGCATATCTAAGCCACTCGTCCGACATCTGTTAAAATTATTCCAGCGACAGCTCAATATAATGTTTACACGCGTCCCAAAGCATTTTGGTGAACATTTTAAAGAAAAAAAAAACTTATTCGTGATGGAATTTAAGCGTGATAGTGTGATTTCTTTTTATTTGGCTGAAAAACCACAAGTGGTTATTGTAAGAGCACTCCAGCATTTAAATGAAAACTAATCTTTTGTGCCTCGTACCATCGCTCGTTACCGTGATACTGGTAGCGTAGCCCGACGTCAAGGAAGTGGACAGAAGAAAACAGCCACACCAGCAGAAATGGTTCGAAAAGTAAAGAAGCGACTTGATCGAAACCCTCGTCGCAGTGGCCGAAAAATGGCTCGTGAGCTGAACATATTGCAATATTCCACTCGACAAATATTGAAAAATGAGCTCGGGGTAAAGTTATTGAAATTCCAAAGAGTGCAAGAACTTACACAACAACAGAAGAAGAGCTAAAGAGTTACTTCGCTTGGCCGAAAGTGGTGAACTTCCGAATTTGGTGTTCTCCGATGAGAAAACATTCGTTGTCCAGCAGTTTGTAAACAATCAAAATGATCATGTTTACTTGCCAAAGAGGTCAGCTGCAAATGTGCACCTTCGGTTGGCTACCAGAACTCAAGCGCCGGCCATGGTGATGGCGTGGGCCGCCATAACAGCCGATGGTCGCTCTTCGCTCGTATTAATGGACCCTGGCATCAGAATAAATGTAGAATATTATCGCGAAAATATTCTGAAGGATGTATTAAAACCTTGGATACAAGCATTGGCCGCAGACCTTGATGCTAAAATTTGATGCTATTTCCAACATTCTATCATTCAATAAAATTTAAAAAAAAATATGTAAAAATTATGGTTTTTGACTTTTTTTGCAGTTTTTTTTATCTCACCCTGCATGTTACTAATTTTGGTCTTGGTTGAAGGAATAGAGAGGAATTTCCGAAATTTCATAATTATGTTGTTGCTACCGACAATTGAGATATGGAGGTGGATTTAGAAATGCCTTCTATAGCCCCAGTCAAAAATTTGTAATGTATTATAATAAACTAAATCAGTTGTAGTTTCTAATATCAGGGTTTCATTGAATAACAAGTAAGCAAAGGCTACAGTCGAGCGGGGCCGACCGTTGAATACCCTACAACACTATAATAAACGATACAGTTTATATAGGCGAGATACTCGAAAGAATTCCAAAGATATTGTGGCAAATAATAAAAGAAAACCATCAGGTTTCGTTCTCTAATTTTCGAATAATGGCAACTTAAACTAATTTGCTCATTTCCAATTTATTGGAAGATGTTGCACGTAAATGGTCTTCCTAGATCTGGAACCAATATTTCCCATAGACCTATAATCTCTCAGAAGTGGCAAAAGATTAACATTTATTATTGGTTTTTGACTGAAACGCATCAATATGAGATACAGACATTTGACTATATTCTTCAACGAAATCAGCGTTAACGAAATTGTCAAAGGTGCGTCTTTCCTGTATTTGTGAATTCTCCAAAAAGTCACTGGAATGGACATTTTCGTATTTTGTCTACAAAAGTTGGCAAACTATTTCCCACATTGAATATTTTTGGATGGCCATCCAAAACTGCTTGGCTTTTGTAATGTCCGGTCACCCCCATTCAAATGTGCGTGAGGATCGGTTGATAATTACAACCTGCTTACAATTTTGCAGTTTTTTGGTCCATTTCAACCCCTAAATATATGGCGATTATCTCCAAAAAGAGTAGGCTTCTATTCTGACCCTCATCTTATCCCCATGCAAAATTTCGTAAGGATCGGGCCATAAATGCGATCTGTATATGATATCCTGATATCCTAACTACTTAGTTTTGTTAGCTGTAGAAATATTACCAAATGTTTAATTCAAAATGAAAATATGCCAAAAATATGACAAAATGGAAAAAATATGAGAAAATTTTACAAAATCAATATTTTCATCTTTAGAGAGATATTTTTATGCGATTTTTTAGACGTTTTTTCTTTCCCGCCAAGAGGCCATTCTGAATTAATGAGAACTGTCGAAATCAGTTCAGCCGTTCTCGACGTATAAGAGATCTTTCAAGCATATCTTCTTTTATAGACATATATATCGCACATATTTCGCTATATATCCGATTTGTTGGATGTTAACATCAATGTAAAGGTCAGAAGTAACCTTGTCATGGCTTTGGGATTTCGCCGGTATTTAAAATATTCGCGGTTTAATGAAAAATTTTGAATTTTTCAACACAAAAGATATGGTCTATTTTACCCGCTAAATATTATCCGATGACCACCCAAATTGGTAGGCTTCTTCTCCGCCCCACACTCTAGCTACATGCGAAATTTCGCGTCGATTGGTCTATAATTGCGACCTGTATAGCTACTGCAAAATCCGACATTTTTTCAGTATTTGGTCCATTTCAACCCCTAAATATTATGCGATCATCTCCAAAAGAAATAGGGTTCTATTCCGACCTAAGCCCCACCTCCATTCTAAATTTCGTGAAGATCGGGCCATAATTGCGACCTGTAGAGTGATTACAAATTAACATGGACAGACGGACAGACGGACGGACGGACATACATAGCTAGATCGACTCAGCTCGGCGAGCTAGGAAGATCCATATATACTTTCATATATGGGAAACCAATATTTCGAGGTGTTACATAAATTCTGGCCCTATCAAACTTATAATACCCCCAACACATAGTGTTGTAGGGTATAAATATTAACCAAAAATATTCAATATAGGTCAACTATTTGACATAGTACCCAAATAAGGGAGCTTACACAATTGGTTTGTTCCAAAACTGCAATAATGTAAAGCTTTTGATTGCGATAACCGATTTTCTCTTAAGGATATCGAGAAAATTTTCAAAAGTAGTAGACTCTTGTAGGTTCTGAAATAAAGAAAATATTTCAAAATGTTTGGAATTTGGAAAGTCTACAACTTCGGTCGGAATTTGAGTACCACGAGTTTTACCTCCATATTCTGGTAAATATTTTTGTATTTCAAAGAATGGAGATACGTACTAAGTTAACTAAGTAAATTCATTCATTTTAAGTTACTATCGAGAACCCTCAATAAATTTTTTCTGTGAAAGAAAAAAATTTAGTTAAAAAATAATTTTTGTGCAACACCCTAATGTAGCCTTATTTACATTCATGGGTTGACATTTATGTATCCGAATTGATTGATTGCCTTATTTGGTTGGCTGAAGTGTGTGTGGTGCTGTGTTTATGTCGATATTTTCTTTTTTTTAACGATATGGAAAGTCATCAATTTTCAGTTTTAGACAAATTTCATGTTTTTCTTTGCAATTCTTTTTGATCCCTTTTCAGAGGTTGTCACATCTGGGCATTAGGTTCAAAGTGTCAGGAAAACTAACAAACAAAAAATGTTG